TTATTTTCCCCAGTGACTAACATATTTCAGTGTGGACTGAGCACAGCAAAACTTTGAAGCAGTGCACCATCTGAAGAAAATACTCAACACAAACAAAACATGTGGCAACACTAAAACAAACTGTAAACATTTTAAAGGCCGTAGTTCAGCAAAACCTACAGAACTTGTCCTCACGCAACCCAAGCTGAAGGACAGTAAAGCTTGAAACATTGTATACACAGGTAAAGACACACATAAACACACACACACACACACATGCCTTCTATGGATTTAGGATCTTTGAGCTGTCTTCATCATGCCACTCTCTCCTTTTCCGTCCGTGGTCATAACCCCCTAATAAACCAGTTGCTGTTTCCCCCAGCCTTCACGTATTCCAGATCAAAGAGCTGGTCTGCCTTTCAATGTCAAATCTCTCACGTGTCATGACTGTGGAGCAATTCTGTAACCTTCTCAGAAGCAAGGTCTTATACCGAGTACTTTACAAGCAGAACCACCCCCCTCGTCCCTTCCAACACAAAATTCTGCAACAGGATAGTTCTCAAAAGCTGAAATATCAAGGCTGCCTCCAGAAAGCTCCTGCTGGAAATCTGCATATTGTACCATTTTCAGTCCGAGTGAGTGATCTGTGATGGGAGGAGTGAATCCGAAGGAAGCCGGGCCGTTGGCAGAGAAGTCACTGGGAGACTGTTGCCCTACCAGGCCAGAAATGGATGGCGGCTGGGATTAGAGTAGATGAAATGAAAATGTGAAAAATAAATGGGTTTGAGAGAAACTGTGGGGTGGGAGGGAGGTTGAAGCAAGGAAAACACTTCCTGGGACCCGAGTCAGACAAGGGTAAAAGAAGCGGAGGGCAGGGCTTCCGAGTAAAGCTCTGCCCAGCCTAGCGGGTCCCCCCAACCAAGGAAAGCGTTCCGAAGTCCTTTGCAAGACAACGTCCCATTCTCGCATTCTTAATGTAATGTATTATATTATATCATGTTAAATTTATAATTTATTTTTATATTACATTAATTTGTATTTATTTTCAATATAATTCTTAAGTTACTTTCTCAGTTGGATGGCATAGACCTTCAAATGGATTTTTCAATAAAGTTTTTTGGGTGACATTTTCTGAGCTCCTGCATAGTTGAGTATGTCATTTCCACGGCTTTCATTCATAAAAAATTCATAACCTGACCCTATATAATAAGAGGAGGTCACAGCCTTTTTCTCTCAAAAACCAGTATCTGTCATTCCATGAGCTTCTGCAGAGAAGCGTACGGTTATCCTGATTCTAGTGAGTAAAAGAAAAAACACAAAACTGCCTAAATGTTCACTGTTTTTCTTCTAAGCTTTTGCGTTCATTGTTCTTCCCCCAAGAGCACTTCAAATTATTTGGTAGTTTCCAGCTTCGCGCCCTGAATGTCTAACATCTTCTTTCTCATCACTCTAAACTTCTTTCACCTTTGTTTAGCATTTGGGAAGAGTTTATCATATTTGTTTTCCACATCACTGAGATGATTCCTCAGTGTCAGATCCGTTCTGCTGACTCTGTGGGTTTCACTTGGCTGCTGCTATTTAAAATTTCTTTTTTTCCTACATTAGCCTTTTCTTCTTGGTGTGTTCACTAAAGGATGAGGGTTCTTTTCTTAAGGCTTTTTTATCCTATTTCATAACAAATTCGTGTATTCTACTGAGATGGCTAGTTGATTTTCCTATATGTTTTCTGTTTCCCTTTGGAGTTCAGATTGACTTTTTTCTCCATTTGACATTAAATGTTAAACATTTGTTCTTAAAATTTTTCAAACACATTCTAATAATGGGAGATTGACACAGAAAAGTAGTTGGAGAAACCAAAATATATATGGAAGAGGCCTAGCGAATTTTCAGAATCTATCAGGTTTTTACATAGTTTCGTTTTGTAGGGTTAAAATGAGATTTTCTTTTCTGAGCAATTCCCAGTGTGGACTGATAACCGTTCCTCACTCTGTCCCTTGTGGGGGAACTTTATAATGTGGGGGTACTGCCCACTAGCCCCTTCCATGTGTTTACAATTTTTTTTGCTACCTATGCACAGCCAGAAGAGATACAGAGAAAGGTAAGAGAACGGGATGAGTGGAAGACGCTTGGTGTGTTAAAAAGTAATGCAATAATAATTATAGCGGCTGTGCCGACTAAAATTCAGTACCTTACTGCCCGCTTTCCCCTTGTCTCCAACCCGTCCCTTCCCCCCGGGACTGACTGTCAGTGAAGGGAGAGAAGGAAGAGCAGGAGGAGGAGTGGGGGTGCAGGGGGAGCCGGAGAGCCCACGGGGGAGAAGGCAGAAGGAGCAGAAGGTCAGCTGCTCGGCCCTTGTGGGGTCTCTAACCTGATGACAAGGGACAGATTGTGGCCGCAGGAGGGGTCCTGACCTTCGCTCGCTTTCTCACTAGCTTGCCGAATTTGTAGATGAAATAGCATTAGTGGTCTATCCACTAATATTTTCAGCCCCAAAATATGACCCTAGTGATTAGTCATTACGTTATATGTAGAGTTATGTTAACAATAGAACCTAGTGTTTTGGGAAGGCTCATCACTTCCCACTGTGCGTCTTCCTGGATGGCTCAGTGGGAGGTTAGAACTGGCTAAGTTAGGCGCCGTCTCGAGTCCACTTTACAACGGTGAGGCTGAGCCTTAACTTCTCAACTCTGCTTTCTCAGGCAACTTCTCTTCTGCGGTTCTCTGCTGAAATAAAGGTGCCAGGCTCCCCCTGACCCCTCTAGCTCAGCTGGTCTGCCGTCAGTCTCCCTTTTTCGGTGCACCCTGTGAGGAGCATTTATCCTCTCCGTCCCTTCTGTACAAAATCTGACCTTTGCGTGACTCTAGCTGGAGTGGTTCTTAGTGTCTGAGAGTCTAGAATACGCCGATGTCGAGGATGATGGTTCTTGTATGACTTTGAAGATCCAAACTTCGTTCTCCTTGACTCTGACACATAAGCTTTCTCGTTCTTCCTGGGATTTGTTTTGTCCATCAGCTGCCCTTCGAGTGAGCTCTAGGTAGGGGCAGTATTGAATAATTTGGCTCATATTAATTCCTCCTTGCAGCCTGCTCCTATAGGTAGTCTGCTTAGGTTCCCGTACATTTTACAGCCTCACTGCGTGTGAATCAGTGACCGTTGTCTGATTTCTGTGGCTTGCTCCTCCTCACTCTGCTGTTCTTCAAATATCCACCTCCTTGTCCCTTTTTCCATCTTTATTTCCCCAGATCCACACTGTTTTCTTATAATCCAGTTTGCTGTCTGATTTCCCCTAAAGCCCAGGACCTGTTTTCTTCTTCTTTCCTCACTACTTGGATATATAGTATTTGTACAGTCATTCCCACCATCACAAATACAGCCACGCACCGCTTAATGACAGGGATGCATTCTGAGAAATGTCTCATTGAGTGATTTGCTCATTGTGCAAACATCACAGAATGTATTTACACAAACCTGAGTGGCATAGCCTTCTACACACCTAGGCTCCTCGTCTAGCCTGTTGCTCCTGGGCCACAAGCCCGTGTAGCATGTTACTGCACAAAACAACACGAGATTACATAAAGCACAAGAGAATACGATGCAATTCAGAGACAGAGTAAACAAGAGATGTACAAGGTTGCTTCTGGCATCATGTGGCATATACTGTTTCCCAGCAAAAAAAAAATGTTAATGAGTAGGAAGAGTACACTCTTAAAATGAAAATAGAAAGTAAAGTATAGCAAAGATATAAACTAGTAGCATAGTCATTTGTTATCATTGTCAAGTATTATGGACTGGGCATGATCTTCTGTGCTGCGCTTTCACAGGACTGGCAGTGCAGAGCACCTGTTTAAACCAGCATCACCACAGATGTGTGAGCAATGCCTTGTGCTGGTGTGACATTCTGGCTGCTGTGACGCCACTAGGCAACAGGAAGTTTTCAGCTCCATTGTAATCTTATGGGGCCCAGCTGTGCGTGAGGTCCCTCACTGACTGACACATGCCGAGGCTCGTGATGACGTTGCCAGCACCACCAGCTGTGCCTTGCCTTGTCCACGGTGTGCTCACTGGTCTATGCTGGTATGGCATCAGACTGCAGGGTCTACCGAGGGGATATGACACTCTAAAAGTACCTCAATGTACTAATGGGCGCATAAGGCAGAAATCCAAATTTTGGCCATTTCACACTCTGCTGTATATTTCAGCAATTAAAAAAAATGTTAACTACTAAAAATATTGGCTAATTTTCTGAGATTTAGGGCCTTAATAGTGTTTAGTATAATATAGTATTCAGCATTTTTAAAGTCACTAGAGGTATAAAAGGCAGAGAAACAAATTGATTAGTCACGGCTCAGAGAAATTCTCATCAACGGCCAGTTCTCACATCCCCATTTTATTATGGTGATGGACTTAATTTTGTTGTACAAAAATACTGTCCATGCACAGAGCATACTTTATCAATCATCTCATAGAGTTTTTAGATCAAAAAATATGTGATAGTCCTTACAGATGAGTAATCCGAAGAAGGGTCGAGCAGGAATTCCTTACAGAAGCAGTTACCAAAAACAGATGAGGTAAAGGCACCGGGATGATTAGTGAGGCCAAAGCTCAGGTTACTGGCTAGACTTCAAGCTATTTAACAGGAACATGACGCAAGCCACAAAGGAGAGCCCCATAGGTTACCAAAATTTTTCTTGTAGTCATATTTATAAAGTAAAAAAATAGCAGGTGGCATTAATAACATTCTTATTTAATCCCAGTTATGAAAGCAGTCTCTTTTTGTTTGTTTCTTTAGGTGCCAGGAACTCAAAGTCTGGAGCGTATTCAACACTTACACAACATCTCAAATTAGACACGTTCCGTCTTTCAGTGATTAATAACCTCACAGGGCTAATGGCCACCACTCTGCACCGTGTAGGCCTGGCGTTTTTTGTTATCGTCACACTTGAGGAAAAAGTGGTTTACGGAAAAATACGTAACTCCTGTGAGAGGCGACCGGAAAGAGGTGATCGCTGTCCTCTCTCACCTGCACAGGTCTTCCTTTATGTGAAGGGAGATCAGCTCCTTGGGAACGTGGAAAGACAGCGCGCTCTCCGACATCTGCTCCCGGACTCGCATCCACTTGTTGTCAGACGTGGGGAATCGGTACAGCTTGCACACCGGGTTCTTTAACACTGAGGGGGGAGGAAAGCTCAGAGGTTAGATGACAAAGATATGCACAGGAGAGGAAGATCAACTACAAAGTCATTAATCAGGGTACCTCCTAATTATTTATTCAATCAAAATGTTGTGGTTTTTTATCATAATCCATTACTGTATTTGAATCCCCAAGTATTTTGTTCTTCTCGTTTTTTTCAGGAGCTTCTAGGACATATAGTCTTTATTAAATTAAAAGAAAACAAAAGGAAATTCATAAATATGACTACTGTTCTTCTCCAATTTATCACATATTGATTCTTTTCTCTTCGACAAATTTCCTGAAAGCACATGTTTATATGAATATAGATAAAAATATATGTATTTTTATACAGTACACACTTTGAAAAAATACGTGTCTGAATTTCTTCCAATCTACTCTGAGTCAACTTTATGCACTTATATAGTAGGTGACAAGTGACAAGAGGTGTTAAATAACTCTACTTCTAAAAATTATTTATTTCTTAAATATCAGGGAAGTTTATTCCTGGACTTACAATCCATTAAAATTCAAACATCATACATATGTTAGTGGCCATGGGTCCATAGCACACTTTCCTGAAACCACATGTTATCAGAAGCAAGACAAGGAGATGCTGAACAAACTGTGTACTCATGGTGGGCGGGCAGTGATTAGGGGACAAGTGACGAGGTCATGCCATCAAGGGCTTTAAAGATTTAAAGCAAATGTGCAGGGTCAGATACTAAGATAATACTTGATTCTATTTCTGTGTGAGGTTGGCAGTCCCACCACACCCGCAAGCTGTATATTTCAGGGCATAATTTTATTTTCATTGCTGTTGGGCAATGAAAGTCTCATACATGAAAGCTTAATGCACGATAAAATATTTGGTCAATCAACAGTCAATTGCCTATGATTATATATCTCTAATTTACTAATAAAGCTGGTCAGAAACAGAATTTGGCATTGAAGTGAATGAAAGGCTGTAAATAGTACCGAGCACAGTATGTGAGCCAAGTCTCCTCAATGTACGGGGTAAAAAGCCTTTCAAAGTTTTAGGGTTCTACAAAACCATATCTCATTCCCTATTTGGGTAAACACACAGTATTTTTCTGAACATTAAAATGAGGATCTGTCCATCCATTTCTCTGAAACTATCCATTTTCAGACGTACAGTTTTGGGAAATTATCATGATCAGTATTGAAACTACATCGGAAATCTTGATTTCAAATATCCCATTCTTCAACGACCAGATTCAAAGCTTCCAGTGCACTTACCTACCACCTACTAAGGATTAGCCCAAGTGTTTACTTTTCAAAAGTGCCAACAGAAGCCAGAAAACATTGAATAGAATGTTTCCAATCTATTCAGAGACAATACTTGACATCTAAAGTTGTATGATCACATTAAAAATTGTATGACCATATTTAACATAAATATAGCATGTACATTTTATCAGTTAGATTATATCACAGATCCATATATACAGTTAATGATATTTAGTTTCTTTTTATTGAAATGTAATTGATGTATACATTATATTAATTTCAAGCATACAATGCAGTGATTCAACGTTTAAACATATTGTGATATGTTCACAACAAGTCTGGTTAACATTCATTGCTATACATAGTTACACATTTTTTCCCTCATGATGATAACTTTTAAAATCTACTCTCTTAGCAGCTCTCAAACATGTAATATGGTACTACTAATTACAGTCACCATGATGTACATTATATCCTCATGACATATTTATTTTATTGGATATTTGTACACTTTGATCCCCTTATCCCTTTACCCCCAACACGTGTCTCTGGCAACCACCAGTCTGTTCTTTGTCACTATGAGTTCTCTTTTTTCTTGTTTGTATCATTTCTAGGTTTGTTTGTTTGTTTGTTTTTTAGATTCCACAGGTAAGTGAGCTCAGACAGTATTTGTCTTTCTCTGTTTCATGTCACTTAGCATAGTGACCTCAAGGTCCATCTGTTTTGTTACCAGTGACAAGACTTCATTCTTTTCAATGATGAATAATGTTTCATTGTATGTAAGTAAGTACCACATCTTCTTTATCCATTCAGTAATTGACGGACACCTGGGCTGTTTCCATGTCTTGGTGATTAAAAGCAATGCTACAGTCAACATAGGGTGCATATATCTTTTTGAATTAGTATTTTCATTTTCTTCGGATAAATATCCAGAAGTGGAATTGCTGAATCATATGAATCATATGGTAGTTCTATTTTTAATTTTTTGAGGAAACTCCAGACTATCTTCTGTAATGTCTGCGCTGACTTACATTCCCACCAACAGTGCACAAGGGTTCTCCATGTTCTTGCCAACACTTGTTATTTCTTGTTTTTTTTTTTTTGATAATAGCTGTCCTAATAGATGTGAGGTGATATCCTATAGTGATTTTTGATTTATATTTCCCTGATGCTTAGTGATGCTTAGTATGACTTCATGCATCTGTTGGCCATCTGCATGTTTTATTGTATTTTAAAAAAATGTCTATTAAGACACTCTATGCACTTTTTATTGGATTGTTTGTTTCTTTTGCTGATTTGTATAAGTTCTTTATATATTTGGGATATTAGACCTTATTAGATATATTTTCTTTCATCCGAAACATAAAAACTTACCGCAAGTCAGTGAAAAACTGTATTTCATTCATTTTTAATGTGACAATGTTCCAAAGATATAAGAATTTTACTACATCTATTGTCATATCTCTAGAGTTGGAGAAGAAGAAAAGTATATATTGGATTCAACAAAGTGTCAGTCAGATTAAACCACTCACAAAATCTTATAAATTCCAATATAGTAAACATGATCAGGAGTATAAATGTATCCTTTCATAGTAAGACAAAAACTCCATCTCCAAAATGTCCAAATATGTTCTTACGAAGCTAAATAAATATTCAACTTCTTGGCTTGTCTATACTCAGTACACGTGCTGCCCTCTTAACCTGTTTTCAAAGAGTAAACAAAATCACTGTTTCTTTTAAACCATGGTTAAAAATATTTGGATTTTTCTTCCCTTTTCTAAAACAATAATTACATTTAGAAAATTTATACTTTGAATTAACAAATTATAAAATTCTTTATTTTTTGTTATCATCAAACGAGTGCTACAACTTTTTATTTTATTGGGTTTTTTGTTTGTTTTAATGCTCTTCATTGCATCCTAAATAGAAACCTTTGTTGAAGTAGCTTAAGTAGAAATCAAGAGCAATCTCAGTAATGATCTCTGGAGCTCTCCTCTGGCCACCTAGGACACAACCTCCAAGGATTCTATAGGAACACAGGTGTTTTCACTAGAAACTCATGGGGTGAATAACTGAAAATATCAGACAACTTGATCATAAAGAAAATCCCAATAATGCCTCCTATCTGACTTGCATAATACAATTCTCATCTTTTGAAACATGCAGGTCTCCAAATATTAGTACTCAATTTTATATATTTATCAGGATCTCAATACAGGTAGAGTGTGATCCCCTTTAAACATAATTTGGTCCAGCGGAATTTCTTATTGACCACCTACTATGTATCAAGTAATAACACCTACAGTACCATGGAATGGCGTGTGACTTAAAAATACTCTGCCCTGACTTTTAACTCCCATGCACATGGTTGCACCAGGTACAAAAATGCCCAGATGAGATGTTCTCAGCTCGAAATTCTTGTTGGGTTGACAGTGGGGAGATTCTATCCTCATTACACCAAAAAAAGGTATGGTCTTCCTGCATCAAATATTGAACGGTGGGTCATAAATAATGAATTTTTTGTCCTTTTTAACACTTCTTCCCTGCAGCAGGGATAAAACTCCGACAGGTCTGCACGTACTCTCCGGCTGTGTAAACGAGTCTGTCACGTGCGCCTCGGACTTTCCACAGACGCCTCAAGTTGTTGCCAGAGTCTCCTAGACAAGAAAAAGCTAAAGGGGTTCATCACCACCAAACCGGTACAACATGAAATGTTAAAGGACCTTCTTTAAGAAGAAGAAAAAAGAAGATTGAAAATATGAACAGTAAGATGGGAATAAATACATATCTATCAAAAATTGAATCAAAAAAACAAAGTAAGTGAGCACGCAGAACAGAAACAGACTCATGGGTATGGAGAACATTCTGGCAGTTGCCAGATGAGAGGAGGGTTGGGGGGATGGGTGAAAAAGGTGAAGAGAATAAAGGTAGTTACAAAATTGTCACAGGGATATAAAATATAGCCTAGGGGATATAGTCAATAATATCCTAATTACCCTGCATGGTGTCAGATGGGCAGAAGATTTATTGGGATGATCACTTAGAAAGTTATATAATGTTTAATCACCAGGGTATACACCTGAAACTAATATAATATTGTGTGTGAAATGTAATTGAAAAATAAAAAACGATGTTAAAAAAGATGCATTTCTTTCTTTTTTATTATTGTTTAATTATAGTTGTCCCCATTTTTCCTCCATTACTCTACCCTGCCCTACCCACCCTCCACCTCCTACATTTAGTCTTCCTCCCCCCACTGTCTTCGTCCATGGGGCCTTCATCCACTTTCCTTGACTTGACCCTTCTTCCCCTTCTCTCCCCCATAATGCCCCTCTCTCTTTCCCGCTGGTCACTGTCAGTTTGTTCTTTATTTCCACCATACAATAGGCTCGGCCCAGTAATAATATCTATTTAACATCTATTATAAGTTATTTTTAAAGACAGTCCTGTGTGTATTCTCTTCATTTGTTTCACCGCTTCTGCTAAAACAATGACAAAAAATATCACGTGACAGATTCTACCAAGAGAAAAGCAGCAGAGATAGTCTGGACCACATCGTGGCCTTGTGATGCCTGAACAGGGTAGAGTTCTGAGCTGGAACGAAGAGTGACACATCCCCTTGCATCCAGCACAGAGGGTGAAGGAACACAAGGACAGAGAGTTAATGACAGATTCCCGCACCCCCAAATTGAAGCACAACTCAATTTTCTACCTTGTTTCTCCCAGACACAGTAACAAGATAACGCG